TTCTTTTTCCTTTGAGCTTTGCGTGTGAGTAAGTTGTGTAGTTCTGTTGTTTATGATTCTGCAAACATGCTACATAAAGGCCTAGCCGTAAAAACAGCCTGAGGTATCCACACATTTTGATAGCCTCAAAACTAGCAGTTTCCAATTCGTATTAAAGCTGCGCGGCAAACACTTTAAAGAATGTTCGCAGCTGCGGAAATACTCAGCTGAAGTACTGCCAGTTGGTACCGGCACCGGAAATGATGGGCTGTGCCCTCTACGTAATCAACCCAGAAAACAGGAAATTCAATTTTTATGCGCTAAAACAAGCAAAGAAACGTCAACACATACAAACACGCGCCGGCACACTCATAGCAATGCGTATTTTCAGTTCAATACTGTTCTGGCCTAAAGTTGAAAGAACTTAAAACGTTTACAGACCAACGCGCATTCAGCAAGAACAATAATAACAACGGCAACTGTAATAATAATTGTAAATAACTTTTTTATGTTGGACCGACTGGAAACCAAAGAGATGGCCCTAAGCCCCTTTAAAGCCGAATTGCACACGAAACAGAAGCAAAGTAAAGCAAAAAAGGAAATCCAAAAAAGGCCACTGGATGGGAAAATTAAAATGTTTTAGCGCAAATTGTTTTTCGACAAAGAGCAGAACCAATTCCCACAAAAAATAGATATTTACCGAGTTAAAATGCTATTAAATTGAAAAATTTATTTTAAAGGCCGGACAACTACATTTTTAAATAAAATCATATATTTTATTGCAAATATTATTTAGGATTTTGAAAATAATTTTGTCATTTGAGATGTGAACGGAAAGAGCACAAGCTAGCCCATATAGGATGATGTCTAGGGTTTAGCTTAGGACCATTTTTCATTTTGATTTCGTAGCCAGCTGCGCTCTGATTGACCTCTGCCTAGACGAGCATTTGACATGAAGTTGAGGCGAACATTATTAATCCCACACGAAATTAAAGCGTTTGTCACAAAAGATTTAAAATACAATCAATCTGACGCAGCAACAGCCCAGTTTAAGCCAATCGCAAAATTCCATAATTTTGTTGTTACAGTTTTGTGGATAAACCACTTTCTGGGCTAACCTCGGCTGGTCTGGGCCATATCGAATTTTGGGGATAATCGAATTCTTGTTGTTTTCGGTGCTGAGTTTAAGCAGCGCATTAGATTTTATGTTTATTTTTATCCGCATGAAAATGAAATAACAACGTAAAAAATGCGAACGCCCTTCAGATATTGAGCAACAATTTCATTTGCATATTTTTCATTCGCTTCAAGCTCAGCTAGAGTGCGAAATCATACTATGTATATGTATTCATGGAACATCTATAGGTACGTCAGTTATTATTGCCAGAGCCATCATAAATATGAAAACAGTCAGGCTAGGCAATGAAAATTGGAAAATATCAAATTTCCAAAAGCTTCCTTATGTGCCTGTGTATGTGTGTGTATTGTGTGAACAATTTGATGGGTCTACTGTGGTTCGATCGACTCTGCTCTGACTCTGCTTCTGACACATTTCATTAGTCCGCTATGCACACACACACACACACACACTCACACTCAAGTTGTGTAGCATAAATTGACGCCTGGGTTTTTATCATAAGGCAATTTCATATTATGTATACGCAGTTTGCGCGTTGGCTGGTTTAGTTTTTGTTGTTATGACCGTCATTTTATGGGCTTGACGTAACATAAACGGACGAAATCATTTGCACTTAGTTCGTAGAGTAAATGCTTGGTCATAAATTATGCTAACACCTCTCTCTGAAAGCGTTTGTATTCATGTGAGCCCTTATGATTTATGTAGCTGCTAGGCTCAAACCTCAGCAAAATATTACATATATAGTTCAACTTCTTGAATCGGCAATACTTTATTAAAGCAATCGGCATGAAATATAGTGTCTGTGGCTTAATTAAGCATAGCATGAATCTTTTATATGTTCAAGCGAATTAAATATCGTAAAGCGCATAAGATAGGCCTAAAAGTTTCTTCGGTTGGCCGTTCGTCAAATATCCGTTAAATCTCTGAAAATCCTTATGAGCTTAGGCGCCTTTTAGAATAATAAGTTTTGGAGCGCGCAAAAGGAAAATATGCCAACAGCTGTTGATAGGTATTCAAAGCACACACTCAAACACAAATCTAAGCATACTTTGCGGCGCATTCCTAGCGTTTCGACAAAGTAATCCTATGGGCTATGGGGAAGAGAATGAGAGGGAAAGATGAAAAGCGAGGCGAGTTGCACCTACCAAACCTGAGCAGCAAACAAATCACAAAAAGGCGGCTACTAATCCACATGCTTTCCGGTTTCCTGTTTTGATTTTAGTTTTACTATTCGTTTCTTCTTCGTTTGTTTTTGTTATGGTTTGGCTTGGTTTGTTATGGTATTGTTGAATTAGCAAAGATTGCTTTTTGGTTCACGAAATTTTGTTTCAAACTGAGATGCACTGTCGAACGGATTTACATTTTAGACACTTGTTTTTTGTTGTTTTGGCACCAATGTTGTGTAGTGACTGCTAAGACTAAATGCTGATGATTTGTTGATTTTATGATGTTAGCGATTTTCTTTAATAGCCGGCACACTCCGATCACAAGCGCGCACTCACAACCTCGCTCAACAATCCTGTCCAGGCAACTGCACGCGTGCAAAGATTCGAGTTGACTGCGATGCCTTTTCCACAAGCTTGTCAAACTCTTCGTTGCGTTTCTCGGATTCTGTACTCTCTTTGCCGTGCTCTTTGACTAAGCGAATTCACCACACATTCGAAATGACTACCACTTGAACTCGTACTCGAACCGCTCGCACTCAAAGCCAAGCACAGCACTCACTTACAGCACTCACTGTACACTCAGCTTCCGCATTTCATGAACCGCCAGAGCCGTGCGTATCCTACGAGCCTCGAAAAGCAACTGATTTGAACATGGCTCGGCTGTTGCCTCAGCCATGGTGTTTCCGCTTTGCAGTGCAGTTGGCAGCACTGCAAACTCTGGGGCTCGGCGCATGCGCCCCTCTACTTTGTTGTCTGTGGTTAGGCACGAATGCGATTCGAATGCGGACCAGAAGGCAAGTGTGAGCGGCGGCATCAAACAGCTGTGTTTACACTGGGTGGTCAACCAGGCTGTTAGAAGTGTGGGTCAAAGGCTGAACTCGTTGGTCGAGCAATGCAAATGTTTTAATTATTGTATAAAACCTTTCATGTTTCATGTCACACACTCATTGCCGTGTGAAGTAATACCTTTTGGTCCGACACAAATGCAATTAATCTTAAAATTTAAATTTTAAATATATTTGATAAAATCGGAGCAAATCACACCGCTTAAATTGAAATCAGTGCAGACATGCTTATATTCCCATAATTTATTTATATAATTTACTTGGCATTACAAACAAACAATTTAACACTTAAAACGTTGCGGCCTGCGCATAAATATTGCCTGATTTAGCACGGGATGCGGCTAATGAGCATCGGGGGAAATTATATATAGTGAAGAGCAGCAAAAAACCGTAGCAAACGCTGCCAAATGTTGCTGGATGCCAAAAAGTGATAATTACTTAGCCTAAAAGCATGTAGCATATAATTTGTTTGTGTATTCTGCACATTCGGCTGGCCAATTTGGGCGCGTGAATGCGTAAAAAGCTTCAGAATAAGAGTCCGCATCACAATCAGAAATGAGAAAAAAAGCAAAAACCAAAAACGAAAGCCGCAACAACAGCAGTGCCTGCCGTTGACACACATTAGGTACGCCAAGGACAGCAACGAAACATCAGCCGCAACGGCAACAACAGCAGCACGAACACCAATAAAACATAAGCCAAAACGTGTTTGTTTGCCAAATTTATTGTCGGACCTGCTCGCATTTCCCACAGCGACCAATCTAGTACACACAGCAGCCCAGCCAACAAATGAACGTGTATAGGTAGGTGTGTGTGTGTGTATGTGTGTGTGTGTACCTGTCAGAGAGTGCGTGTCGGTGTTGTTACTAATGACAACGAAACCGCGACGCGCATCAACGAACGACACCAGAAAGTCATTGACTCATTGAGTTTTCCCTGTGTGCGATAACAACCGCCAATGCCACGCCTCCCCGCCCATACGCTCCCACGCCTCAACACCTACACACTTACCGCTGCAGCACTCGTTGGCTCTTGGAATGTTAGATTGTTTGTTAGCTAGGAGTTTGGTTGCCAGGTTGGTCGGTTGGCTGCATGCCTGCGTGTCTACACAAAGCCAACGGCACCACCAACAACACCAACAGCACCAACAACAACAGCAGCAACAAAATGGGCACTGCGTCTGTTGCTGTAGCGTTATGGCAATGATTATGTAGTGGCGCCTGCACTTACTCCATCATCATTAGACATTGTCAGGTGGCACTACATTGCCTTGGCACTTTCGTGCACTCGACGGTGCCAAAACTACGAAAATCCTACTCAAAAACTTAACTTGAACAAGTGCGACCAAATTTTCGCAGGCAAAGCAGCCACAAGTGTTGACATTAAGGCGTTTCTAATTATTCTTAAATATTAAATAATTTTAAGAAAATACACAATTTTCATACGAATAACACTTTTCACTGTTGCATCCCGATTGATATCATATATATTAGTATATCAACACAATTATTTAGTCAATAAACAGATCATTCATATTTATTAATAATGGATCTTTTATTTCAAGTTTTGGAACGCGTGCTCAATTATGTTATGTATTTCCGCATGGCTGTAGGCTCAATAATATTTGTTGGCTATATAAAAAGTAAACAACCAAATTAAATGACATTAACTTTTGAACGACAGCTAATGGTCCATAACAATATTTATCTCTTTATGCCTACATAAACAGTTTAAGTATTTAAACGTTCACTCACGTGAGCAATTGAAGTGGGGCCAATATTCTGGCCAATAGTTTTTATTGATACGGCAAGTTCCGCAGTTAGTAATTAGCTTACAATGAGTCCAATTCTAATGTGTTTTCTATCGATGGCTATGGCACTTGCAGTGGAGATCAACGACACGGTAAGTTTTCTCAATCCATAAGTAGTTTTATTTTAATATATTTTACGAATCAATAGGTTCCAGTGTCGGTCAATCGGAAGTTTGTTATGGAATCAGTACAAACCAATTGTGATCACGACTTTGTGGAGTATTTTAAAAATGTGCCTAATCAAAAATTTCTCTACACTTTCCGTGTAGTCAAACCGGTTAAAACCTTTACAATCAGCGTTGTCCTGCGTGCAGTAAGGTCCCAGCGAATTATGTACAAATTTAACAAATTGAGTGGCTGTCAGTATTTAAAAAAGCAGATAAGGAACAAATTTCTGACTCAGATGTACCAAGCTCTAGTAGTGAACCACTCTTTATTTGAGTGTCCGATCAATCCGAGCGTTTACTTTCTAAAGAATATGATCAATACCAAGATTGTGCCACACGGTCATCCCTTTGGCTATTATCAAATCAGTATACGCGTTGAAATGCCGCAGAGTCAAAACCCGTTTGTTATGGAGATTCTTTCAAAGTACTATATTGTACCTCTAAAATGAACAGAGGCAATTTTATTGAAATTAATAATTAACAAATAAAAGCTGGCCCATATTGGCAGAGCCTGACGCACTGATAAACTGATTTTTGAGTACATTATTATTCCTCTGATTCCATGTGAATGAATTCAAGTAAGAAAAATTTTGTGAAAATAAAGATTTGTATTTAATTAACTCGTGTTTGACAATATTTCCCATGATTTTTAAGTTATATTTTTCTCAAATCGACCAACATGGACACTTAAATATTGTTAGCTACTTACACAAAATTTTAGATTTAAAATGTGAGCTGTCTATATGAATTGACTTCATACTCAGAACGATATTGATCGATGCATATACCCAATTTATTTTCTAATATCGGTAAAATTGTAATTGCATTTGTTTTTCGGTTTAAGTTGAAGAAAAACAGATTCATAATATTTCGCTATTAGATACTTTCCCATTCCAAAATATTTAAAAAATGCTTAGCCCTGGCTTTTGTGTTGTAAAGATAATAACAATTCCATTTATGTCATTTAATGGTCCGTAGCAATTGCCCTTGATGGCTTTATAAATATTTGAAACTATCATCTATACTGGCTAATGATGTTTCGGATTTTAGTCACTTAATGATCGCCAGCTTGGGGCTTATAACGCCTTTATATCTGGATGTGACTGGTACTTTCAGTTGAAAAAGGAAGCCAACAACATACAATTTTCAACACATCTTAAGTCAATAATATTTCGACATAAATACATATGAAACGGATGATTGCTGTGGAATCAATGGAAAGATATTGCGACCACGAGTTTGTGTAAACGTATCAATCCAATCAACATTTACTGAATACTTTTCGGGTAGTCAAAGCAGCTCAATCGCTCAACATCAGCATTTTGATTTGTGCTGTGGAGTCCCAAGGCCAGTTTGTATCAAATCAGTATTTTAAGAAGATGTAAGCTGAAAGCAATGTGAACAACTCAACAAGTTTAATTGTAAACAATTCATTCATGCAAAAGCTGCCAAAGTAATTCACATATAGAAATCTGATCTTGATTGATTCTTCTATAATATCATTCAATAATTATTAAAAGTCATCAGTTGAGTATAGCAAAAATTCATAAACAATGAATAGAATACTTACATAATACTTCAAACATCATGATAAAACAGTTAAAACAGTACGAAATACTATATAACATCTTATTTCGATAATGATTACATAAATCGGGTATAGCTATCTATTATTTGAGGCAGTCTTGATTAATTTACCCTGAAATTCTGTTCAATAGGTTAATATATGACAATTGCATTCATTTATCAATTTGTGAGATCATTTAGAAAATAGAACAAAGCAATTGTGATCACAATTTTGTTAAATATCTGATCAAATTTAGCGGACGAGGTAGAGATGTGGTCATTACTTTTCATATGCTGAAACTAGCAAATTGTTATACTCGTTCATTAGGTGAAAAAAGTATATTAGTTTTGTGCACAGACCGTCACCGTTATTGAAACTTGAAAATATAATATATTGTAGCCAGATGCTTAACAGATCAACGAGAATTTAATATCTAATTGGCAGCATAAGTATTGTGACAAAAACAAAAATCGTATATTTCTGTTTAGCTCTTCAATGATGTTATGAAAAATTATTGTTAATGTGTATTGTTTTACACAATATGTTTTATTTTGAGCGCTATCCGATACTAGAGCCTTAGAACGTATACTTATGGGCATGACCGTTAAAACTTATATCTTTACACTAGTTTTACGCATGAAAAATTAAATAGTGGCATCACTTGCGACCTCTTCTGAAGAGTTATTGATTTATTGATTGGCCAAAAATTATATATATTAAATACAGCTTCCCTTCGAATTGACATTCCTCTAAATTACTAACTGATCGACGCGTAGGTCGGACAACCAAATAACAGATGGATAGACAATATACTTTCTGCTCGTCGTGAACGAGTATAAATATTAATTTGTTAACGCTTTGTGCCGTATGGACCAGAGTAAGAGTGTTCTAGTTGAGACGGCTCGACTATGAGATACCCTGCGAGTAGGTGATGTTCTAATAAATTTGTGATTGTTTTATACATACATTACAAATATGACATATATACATACATACGCATTTGAAAGAAAAAGGATGAGCTTCCAAAAAATTATAAGTTGCTCACTTTTGTGGTGTTTTGTGTTTACACTGACGGAGAAAAGAACAGATACACGAACATACCTAGACTTATTCAACCCATCGCCTTGATCATGATTATATATACTTAATCGGGTCTGCCACGCCTTCTTCTGCCTGTTACATACATTTTCACTGAACCATTATACCCTGAATCTATTTTCAATGGGTTCATTTAATGATACGTAACACCTGCTCATGATGACTATAAATATTTATGAATAATGGTTAATGACGTTTGGTAAAACATGGATACACAAAATATTTTCAGTCACTTGGGAATTGCCAGTTTGGAGTTTACAATGTCTCCACATCGAGTGTATTTTGTGTGGATATTTTTGTTACTTTCAGCGGAACGAGTAAGCTCTCTTTAACATATAATTTCCTTTTTATTCTAAATGTATATTTCCACATAGGTACATATGAAACGTCAATCTTTTGTGGAATCAGTTGAAACTAATTGCGATCACGACTTTGTGGAATATTTCAAAAAAGTACCTGATCAAACTTTGCTCTATACTTTTCGAGTAGTTAAGCCGGCTGCTTCCTTCAGCATCAGCATTACGATGCGTGCTGTGAAGTCCCAACGAATATTGTACCAATTAAAAAAGATAGATGGCTGCCAGTTTTTATCAAATCAGTTTTTTAAGAAGATGTTTGCTGAGAGCTATGCCACTTTAATTGTGAACAACTCATTCTTTAACTGCCCGATTTCCCCAAAAGTTTACTATCTAAAGAATTTGACCAATGCATTGATTTCACCGATTTTTCATCCAACTGGTTATTATCAAGCAAGCGTTCGTATCAGAATGCCGGAGACTTCAGCCCCATTTGTTATGGAAATTGTCTGGAAGTACAATGTAAAATAATTATTCGAGAAAAGTCTTTGACTGGGTCAAAAAGTTACCTAATTATTTCTATATTTATGGAAATTTTCTGTCTATTTGATGCTCCACTAATAATTAATGTAAGTAGTATTAGTAATATTGTCCGTGGCCTATACCAAAAATCCATGATCAAAGAACAGAATGCTTACATCGTACTGAATTTGCAGTAAAATGAAGCTATTAAATTAAATATCAAATCTACAAATGGTCTATAAAAAGTATTCTAAATAATTTTTGTATAAAAATGGATAAAGATGTTCACGCTTCCAGTCTGCGTAGTCATTGTTCAACTCAGAATTTGATTTGATTCCAAAGATGTGGTATTATTCATCTGATTCTGAGCAGAGCTTAGTCAAGTTAATTTGTAAGTCAATGCAAACAAATTGTCTTTCACAAAATTAAAGAATATTCCTGGTGCCTGCAATGTCTGTTTTGCCACTTTGAAATATATTCTCATGAGTACCCTTGTCAGAAAAGGCTCAAAGATTTTACCGATGGATGGCAAATGGGAGCTTGAAGAACTAAAGGCTTTATATATATGGAAAATGTATGTATGTGTTGACAACTTAAGTCTAAAGATATATATATTGAATATATTTACGTTAATTTGCAAGGAGTATATGTTCCATATTTCAATCTATTTATCATGCTTATACAGACAGACATGCAGGCTGATAAACCCCGAACAATCGAGTACGACTATGAAAATAAATTAATATTAGTAATAATGAAGTTAAAAACAAAATGTGAATATAACAATTGCAAAGGTGGACAATTCGTTTCTGCAGTAAATGATTTAGAAGAACTTAACTTGGTGAAGCAATATTCCCTCCAACTTATATAAAAAGAAAATGTTTGAATAATTTTTAACAATTAATATTCCCTCCAACTTATATGATTTTATATAAAAAAATGTTTGAATAAGTTTTAACAATTAAGCATTTTAATATTACCTTACGACATTTTCCAAAATTAGTTTGAAGATAATTAACAAATCATTTTGCATTTAATTTCATTTTATGCCATTGAACGACAAGAACAGTAACTAAAGTTAAATTTGTTCACCATTAGCAGATATCTATGTTTTAGTAATACTGATGAAATTATTGCAGATTTCAATGAAAGCAAACTAAAAAATTCTATATAAAATACAGCTTACACAAAAACGTTTACTCAGCATTAACTCGTTGACGTTTTGGTGTGGCTCGTTTTTACTACGCATCTGCCGCTGGATACTGGACACCAGAGCTGTTGAGTGCTGCCTGCAGCATGTCAACTCATAATTGATAAATCTACATAACAATTACGATGCTGGTTAGTATTAAAAACAATAACGGGGCGGACTTGAACAGCAGCAATGGCTATAGGTAGGGCTATGGCAATGTCCGTCATATTTCTAACAATGCGTTGGCATCTGCACAAAAAGGACTTATCTTCACGCAGCGCTGTTGTGGTTGTTGTTGCTGTTGTTTGACGTAGCATTTATGCTTCTGTTTGCATGGCGTTTTGTATGTAGGTCAACATTTGCACGCTGGATGACTGACGTCAACATGGATGGGACGGCACAGTCCGTTTCCGCTTCCCGTCTTTATGCAATGTTGTTGTTGTTGCTGCCGTTATTGTTCCTACACCTCTCTACAGTCTGCCAGCGATGCTATTGTTGTTGCTGCTGTAGGCTTGTCGTTCTGATTATTGCTGTCGTTATGACAAATACCCACACTACATGGCGAACAGCAGCTGACCAGGCAGCCTATATGCCATGCTATATACAGTGCTCTATGTGCATACATAGTGCATGTGTAATATGCATATAGTAACTGTGTGTGTGTGTCGCAGCATCATCGATTTTTATTTTTGCGTGTTTTTCAAGCGCTTTGTTGCATTTATTTGCGCTGTCATTGACAGCAGTTGCCACACATATATTTTTGTAGCATACTTTTTGGGGCGTTGTCCATTGCATTTAATTGGTATACATGCTTCTTCGCACGTCAACGCGATGGCCATGTGGGTGTGTGTGTGTGCCAGAGTGGATGTAAGCGTGTGAGCTTGTTTGCGTGTGTTGCAGACTCTTTAAAATTGTAAGCGAATGCCACAACCACCATGCGCAATGCCCCTTCATATGGGTGTGCACTTCAAAAATGCAATCGTCAACGCATTGCACATGTATTTTTTCTGGCCTAGGCAACTCCTTTGACAACTTTGAGAACAGCACATACACATAATTGCAGCCTTGAGGCAGCCTCTCAGCCCACCGTTTTACCTTTTTTATACATTGTTGATTGTTTATTGATTTTTGCATGCCACTGTGTACATATTTTGCATGTTTTTAATGACTTTCTGCCAGGCTGTTACTTCATTAAAATGAATGCCATAAAAATGTTGCATTTTTATTTTTGCGAATTGCGCTCAAGTGGGTCGGCACTTGAGCCGAGTTGTCGTTGGCTAAAGGGATTTCAATAAACTGATAGGCAGGAACATCTTTTGTGTAGTCTGGCATAAAAGAAATCATATACATCATTACAAAATTTATTTGCGCTCACTCTTAACCTCCGCCGACAACATGTGGGGCTGTTTCCAAAGACAAAGAAACGCAGCAGCAGTATCAACAGCAGCGGCAGCAAGCAGCAACGTCAAGTTGTGAGTTGTAAGTCTTCTGTTCTGGGCAGGAAGCACATTTGCATGTAACACGTGAGTTCACAAAGGCAAGTGACATTGTTTGGGGCTCGTGGGTCGCTGCCTGGCACACAAATTAAAGTGAGAGTGCAAGTGCGTGGTAGGGCTGCCTTTTGGCACAGCATATAGACAGACACAACCCGTCATCCCCTCAACTTGTTAACCCGAGTGCAAGGGGCAGCAAGGAGCCATGCGATGCACACTTGACAGCATACAAATAGCCCGGGTGAAGCACCAGAGCTGCATGCGGATGAGGCTCTGTTGATGCCGCTGCACGCCTCAACGCACACAACAAATTATGCGAAAAGCATTTGCCGCTTGCTAAAATTTCAGTAATTCCACATTAAATGATTGAAAATATGAAATCCTTAATACATAATCCATAATCCATTGCCCACAATCCAAGTCATTTACATTTGAGAAAATTTGCATAAAAAGAAGAAAACTCAAAAAGCAGATACTTCCACAAATCTCTAAAGTGCTTCTTCTGCCTCGTCTCCTTTTATAACTAGCTGTACTGGCAACTCAACAGCACTGGGACTTAGACAAATTATAGGCCGCAGAACTTTGTTTTTGTTCAATACCAAAATGAAAGTAGTATATATTAACTGGGAGAAATCGCATCTAAAATTTTATCTGAACGAAGATGCTTCACACAGGCCACCTGCTTCAGAAGTGTCAGCGGCGCTAAATGCTACATGTGCACTTACATTTTAATGTACCCAGGGACACACCAAACCAACAATCAGCAACATATCACGACAAACCAGCCCCAGCAAACATTTCAGAAGCTTCCAGCAGAGAAAAAGGTACAAAATACTCAAGAGGATAAACATTTTTACCTCAATATTGAAATAATCCCTCGCCTCAACTAAAATTCTCGCCTGCCCGAACAAATAAATCTAGTTTTACTTCGTATTTCAAAAGTCTAGTATAGTGGCTATACAGCAACAGCAAATTCGCAACACATTTAAAAATGCCAATTGTAAATAAAGTTTAGTTTTATAAAATCAAAATGAATTACTGCTGAGCACGCTTCATAACCCTTTTATCAATGGCAATAAGCAAGTTTTCAATTGGTTGCTAAGCATATGAACTCGAATAGTTGAGAAAACAAAGTTTTCTGTAGTTGGCTGTTTTCAAGTGGAGTTTGGGGTCCTTCTAAATAAATGTTTAAAATTGAGATGCTTTTTATTATTTAGGTATTTGGCATGGGTAAAACTAATTTGAAATCATGGCACATTGAGTATCATTTGAATACCTAATTCATTCTCTTGAAGGCAGAGCATAAATTTACCGAAAAATATTTATATGTCTTCTCTATTTAATCGTAAGCTTAGACACATAAAAGTCATCTTTTTCGATTCGGGCAAATCTTTTGAAAGGTCCATATTCAATGTGCTTTAAGAAATGTAGTTGAAGTTTTCTGGTTTTTAAAAATCATTCTGCGATTTGAAATGCTATGCCAAGAATTCTGTTGACGGCCATCTTTGCGTCCAAGCATTTGGCTAACATTTTGATCAGCACAAAAGCCGCTTAACACGCACTTTCCATTCACACAAACGTACATCATGTCCATGTATGGTACACACATACACACACAATAACGTGCGCCTGTATAATAAAGAATGGAGTGTTGCTTTTTCGCCCTATCATGTTGTTCGCAGACTTCAGGGAATATAATAATCACGCATTAAGTAACATTTTCAATTACTGTCCTGCTGCTGAATCTTGTTGCAGCCCTACCCTGCCCTACCCTGCCCTATCCTGGCGAGAAAGGCCCTTGTGAATGCCACTCAAAATGTCTTTCAGCTCTAACCACATAAAAAACTAATCAACTTATTTATGAACATTTGCAGTGAACAAAAGGAGCGTGCAGAATTGCGTATTCCGGCCAGCCAGAGAGTAAATAATGTTAAAAGACGTAGAGCACAGTCTGTGCCAGTAAATACACTTAAGGAAGCAGTCGCGGAAAAAGAGCGTCGCATGACCAGCAACAAAGTACAGAGTGGAGAAATGTCGTGGAACAGTTTATAATTTTTCCGCTAACTGAAATTACATTTTATGCGAGACACAGACGCGCACAGTCGTAGTTTACACACGCTCATAAAATATCGAAAGATTGCTCCAACTGCAGCATATTGATCAGCCACATGCAAACTCTCACACCCCCAGAGAATTTTAGGTGGCATTGTTTCTGTGCTGGGATCGTCTTGACCACAATTTAGGCCACTTACGCTACGTATCGAGTGGCAGTGACCATGTGCGACCATAAATGCCCGATGCTGTTCAGTTTATCAGCTGCGGCG